AATTTAATACCACTACAATATTTATTTGATCTCCACTAATGACAGTGGAAATTATTTCGTACTTAGCTCTACAGATTAACCTACTTGATTTTCATTTCCTTCGAGAACGATAAGGATGTATCTTCTGAAAGAGGCAACGAGGTAAAATGTTCAAATGATGCTAATAACAGCATAAATATATCAACGGATAAAACCCATAATTCACAAGCAAAAAATAGAAAAGAAAATATTATTTTACATAACCGAGAAGCCACAAAGGCGCATGCAAACCAAGAAAAAGTTCAACTGACACAGTTCAAATTAACACGACATCATCAAGGACCAAAGGACGAAAACCCTCTCTCAGAGGGAGGGCTAGCTTTCAAACGCGCATACAAGTTCTAACATTAATTTCACTGATTCCGTGAACGCTTCCTGCCGGAGGGCATTGAAGTAAACTATTGAAACCGGCCGGCGGCCCGAGATTGTTGCTCTGGACAAACACACTGGTTGAGAAGCATGAACGGGTGGTTGGCGGTGCCAGAAAACCTAGTGGTGCCTCCTGCCGATACAGGGTCACTATATAGTGTCGCTTAGGAATACATGAAATGCAACTGCACTTTCAAAGCTTCTTTCTTCACCTTAATTTCCTTGTTTTCCAAATCCGTTCATGTACTTGGGTGATTTACAAAATCAAGATGTACACAAAATCCTAAAAATTTAATTAGTGATCGCTAAGGGTTCAGTAAAAGGTTTCGGTTCCTGTTTCAGAAGTTTTGTTACGTCTATGCAAAATGGGATGTGACAATTGGCTCCGTTGCTCTTTTTGAAATATACATATCAGTTCTTAGGGTTTGGGAGAAATGCACGAGAGGGATGGTACGTGCGCGCGCGCGAGTGCGTATATATGTTTTCTTTGCTCCCTAGCTAACATGTTACGTGATGGGCGAAACTGATGATCATGATCAAGAAATCAAGGGTGGCAGTAAAGCCATTTTTCCTCTAGATCAAGAGTGATCCAATTAAACAAGAAAAGATTAGGAAAAATCAACAAAAGATAATCTATGGCTATTGATCTCTTGTACGCATGCACGCACGGGGTGGTGAAAGATATTTCTCCCTTTTTTAATTGACAGGTTCAGATGCATTTATCATGTATAGGTTGTGCTACTAAGACTAGATATTGCAGAGTTTCACCTTGAGAAGCAATACTGCCGCCTGGGATGTCAGTTACAATCCTGTGATGCACAGAGTACGATGGAAAAAATTTTCAAAATCGATGAAATTAGGCTAGGAGTAATAAATTACAAAATGATCAAAAGCTAAAAGATGGAAAACAGGAAAAAAACCAAAACGCTAAAAAAGAATTGAATTTTGTAAATCCCCCATAAGTTTTACTTGCCAGTGCGCCCACTCTCTCAGGGTTGGCTCGCTTGGACTAGGGTCATCGGGATCTATCATCACCTGGACCAATAAAATTTACGGAAGATTTAATAATAATCTCAACAAAAGAAAAGCAGCATGCATTTGATCTAGACATAAGAAACCCGCATTTGTATGGATCATCCGCCAAAAAAGGGTTTCTTAAGAGAAAAAAAAAACAAACAAAAAGCAGAAAAATAAAGAAGGCAGATGATCGAAAGTCCTAGAAAAATATTGACAAAGTATAAAGACAAGGCTATAGAGTGAAGGAAGATGTTTACCAAAGTGTAGAATTTACCAGGTTCTCCACCGATGGTGACTAGAGGAGCAGAAGCAGCAAGAGATGGCTTGACATCAGAGCCATTGGTGACATTCTTGTCATCAAAGTAAAGAGACATGCTCACTGATGGCTCAAACATCTCAACCACATCACCGATGAATCGGAAGACGACCAGGGGATCAGAGTTGACAGCCATCAAAGAGACTATCAGCTAATAAAATCAGAGGACAATGGCTAGAGAAATACTTCAAGAAAAGCCAAAATTTTGAAGTGAGGAAGTAGTGAAGCACCGTAGCACAGTGATGAGGAAGAAAGGTTACAAAATGCAAAAGGTGCTTAGATTAACACGGTTTGGCTCTGATATCTGCGACTGTTTACAAGACGATATAAACAAGAAAGTAAGAAGTAGAAGAAGTAGATCATTTGGGGAGGATCTACTACCAAATTACTACCAAATTATGATAATCCCACTACCAGAAAAATTCGTAAATTCTAAATGAATTATTTCAACATTTTCTTTTCTATCTTATAAATCTAAATCCATAATAAAGTATCATCAAAAGTATCCTATCATAATGATAAAATTATTATTATAGTTGTTTATCAAATAGTAGGTATGGATATGAAAAATTTGGCACCTTTTCCTTATAATTATACTAGATAATCTTATAATTGTATAGGAAAATAAATTAAAACTTATTACACAAGGGTATTTTTGGGTATTCATTTAAAAAATTGATCAAGTCAATATTATTTTAAGATTTTGTTACTAAAACTATCAAATCAAGGGATGTAAGTATAATTTTTCAAACTTCAGAGGAGTTCAATGAAATTATTAAAAACCTCCGGGGAGGTTTCTGAAATTATCCCTTAAATTTATATGTATTTGTATCATATTCGTGTTTGATGTAATCATTTTTTTTAATAATAAAAGTATGGACGCCATTGTCAAGCTAAAGGAAAGGTTTGACCAAGAAAACTTGCCGCCTCTTTTGGGTTGTGAAATGGCCAACTTTTCTCCGAATTAGCATTCAAATATTGGGCTTACTCGTCTACAAATGAATTGAGCTTATGTTTATCAATATCATCTGCTCAACATGGCTATCAAGGTGGTCTCAACTCTCAAGGGCCATACCCCCATGTAGGGGTGTTTCGCGAATCGAGCCGATCGCGAGCGACTCGAGTCGAGCTCAAAAACATTAAACCCGTTGGCTCGCAAGTTCAATTATATATATTTTTTTTTATTTTTTATTTTTTATTTTAATAGTAAAATTACATATATATATTCCTAATATTTTATTATTTGTTAAAAAAATTATTATTTTATTCATTTTTAAAAATAAATAATTATTTTTTTATTTTTTAAAAATAAAATAATAATAATTATTTTTTTATTTTTTAAGCTCGAGCTCGAGCTCGAACTTAATATTTTGAGCTCGTCGAGCTCAAGCTCTAGTTCGAGCTTCACAAAATTAACTCGAACTCGGCTCGATTAGCCAAAGCTCGACTCGAGCTCGGCTCGTTTGCACCCCTACCCCCATGGTAGACTTTCTTTTTCTTTCTTTTTTTTTGTTAAATGAAAAGACTTCTGTTTTTATTTCAAATTGTACTTTCTACTATTTGCTTAAGAAGGAGCTGTCTTTTTATTTTCCACCTAACTATGCATAAAAGCTTTCTTTGAACGAAGAAATTTTACAAGGGAAATGAATTTCCTTGGGTTAATTGGAACCAAACAGTGGAAATTAAGGAAATTATTTTCTAGGAAGATGGTTTTCATTGAAACAAACAGATAATCTATTTCCTTTTTCTTCTATTTTATGCATAATCTTTGGGGAGGAGGGAAGGGGATGGGTTGGATGGCATCCGTGAACCAAACAAGAAAATAAAAAAAAAAAGTGTGAACCAAAATAGACTAAAAAGAAAAGAACAAGTAAAGGGGTAAAATGCGATGTCAAAAATAATTCTAATCCAAGTCACACATTAAAGGATGCAATTTCTGCCTTGTACTATATCTACCTTCACAATTTTTTTTACAATACTTATCAAAATTGGAGGCAGTCAATCAATCAATCTGGGCATTTATTCTGAAGGAAAAGTTTTCACCATCTGTATTTTATACCTAATTTCTTTGGTAAAAGAATAGAAGAAAATGATTGAATGATTTATAATGTATACTATTGGAACTTACCAGTTGATTATTTAAAACTTTTTTTTTTTTTGGTAAAACTTCAAATCATTAAAGACCAAAGTTTGCCAATTATTGTCACATACTCCATGGTTTGCCCGGATTCGGTGTATTTCCGACGACCTCGTCTTTCCTACTTGTGGCCCCTTAAAAGGGGCATGAGACTCTGTCTCCGATTAATTGTCAACCTTTTGGAGGAAAATGGAGGCATGATGGTTTAAAAAAAGAAGTCGAGAAAGTTTCTTGCCCTGTTGTCAACTATATTTGAAACCTTATAAATCCAATTACTTTTTAGTTGCCCCGTTGTCAACTATATTTGCCCAATTAAATTGCTATTTTTAGGAGTTTTGTAAAAAAAAAAATGTACTGTAACGATTAAATAGAGTGAGGTAAAAAGATAATTAAAAAATGTGTTCACAAAAAATATAAAAAATTTTGTTGTAAAAAACCACAATCTAGACATAAAAATTTTGGAAAATTTGTTTCCTTTCTTTTCTTTTTCCAAGTGCCGGTCGCTATATTTACAAGCCCTTTTCAATAATAATGGAAGGTTCCATCCAACTTAATGGACGTCATAATCCTGGCTAATATTTAAAATCGAATTAATGTGATCCATCTCATCAAAAAAAAAAAAAAAGTAGACAAAACTTAGATCGTGATCTTGATTAGTTAGCCTACAATTGGACATATCTGCGGAGGGTTAATTCCAAAACCAGAAACTAATTTTAATACTCAAAGCTGAAATAGCCAGGTTTTGACTAACCAAATTTCGATTTTCCTTAGATTCAATATGCAACGCGTTTTGAGCAAAGCAACTTTTTAAAAAAAAAAAAAAAAGTTTTTAACGTGTGTGTGTGGACTTTGTGCCTTTGCTTCACTTGTGTATATATGGGGGAAGATGATGAGTGCATTTGTAGACCAATTAGTCATTCGAACTTGTGCTCTCCACACTCTTTATTTCATCAACCCTTCATTTTCTCTCTTTTTCTATTTGTTCATCGAGGTAAGTTGATGATGATGAAATCCCTCTTGTAGTCTGAAATGGTGATCAAATTTTTGACCATTGTCGTCGTGACAATGATCACATATACTGACACGATTATCATCCAAGGTGTAGGTTCTTTGTGTTTAGACTGATTAATCACTCAACTTAATGCTGTTTTCGAATAGCGAAAGCTGGTCATTATTTGTTGGAAAAGTAAGGTGATTTCGTAAAAGAGAACTGCCTTTTTCTTGAAGTTTATCCCTCTGTGAAGGAAAAACTTTGGCATAGTCGGCTCTCTACTTGTAATTAAGAATTTTTTTAAGCTGTTGTTTCACTAATATGTGAAATTTCATGATTTGTCACAGGATCTTCAATGGGCTCCTCGAAGGTTTTAATTTCTCCAAAAGTGATCAGTTTATTAAGCTTGTTTATGGTCTTGAGCATCATCGGTGCCGCAGAAGCACGACCTCCACCAGTAACGGAAGCAACGCTTCATCAGATAGCTGCTTCTTTGCAAATGTACGTGGATGAACTTCCACAAATTCCTAAGCTACTGGGCTGCACCCCTAGTTACGGTGCACCAAAACCAGGAAAACTGACTATTGGAATGTACAAAACCACTTGGGTACGTGAACTTTTCATCTCTAATAGTACATCTCAAGAATTAAAACAAGTCTTTGATAAATTCACTAACGCACCAAGCATCATAGTAATCTCAAGATGCATTTCTTGTGTCTATAACTATGTATTTTACCAAGACGACAACCATCTATTTACACAAAGTTTGTAACTTTTCGAAAAATGACTACCCTTTTGAATTGAGTAATAGGTCAACTATCAAGAAACCATATTTGGAAACAAAGTCGACGACAATATTTTTGTGCTCTTATGTTGCATCAATTAACTCTACCATATGTTTAATAACTTGCTCGAATATTATACTATATGGTTCCTTTTGCAGAAATTTCATCGTGATTTTCCCCCAACAACTGTCTTTGCTTATGGAACATCGGCAGCAACAGCAACGGTTCCAGGTCCACAAATAGAGGCCATCCAAGGAGTACCAACTTATGTCACCTGGCTAAATTATCTACCTGATCATCACATACTTCCCTGGGATCCTACGATCGCGACTGCCATACCCAAAAATGGAGGTGTCCCTACCGTGGTCCATCTTCACGGAGGAATCCACCCACCGCAAAGCGACGGCAACGCTCTAGCATGGTTTACGGCCAATTTTCGCGAGAACGGACCCAAATGGACCCAATCAACATACATGTACCCTAACGTACAACATGCTGGAAATTTATGGTACCATGATCATGCCCTTGGTTTAACTCGTGTTAACCTCCTAGCCGGCCTAATTGCACCTTTTGTTATCAAGGATCCAGCCTTAGAAGCTAAATTAAACCTTCCTTCCGGCCCTGAATTCGACCGACATCTCATGATCTTCGATCGTAGCTTCTACATGGACGGATCATTGTACATGAATTACACTGGTGACAATCCTACAATCCACCCCCAGTGGCAACCAGAATACTTTGGTGATGCAATGATTGTTAATGGTAAGGCGTGGCCGTGCCTCAAGGTACAACCGAGAAAGTATAGATTTCGGATAATCAACACCTCCAATGCCAGATATCTCAGTCTCTCCTTGACAAATGGCCTCGAATTTATCATTGTCGGCTCCGATACATCATATCTTCCATCTCCTGTGACCTCATCGAACATTCTCATAGCACCAGCTGAGATTTTTGATGTTGTGGTTGACTTTTCATTGGCAAAGGCTAGCGAAATCATGTTGACTAATGATGCTCCTTACCCCTATCCCAACGGTACTTCTCCGGATCAACTTACTAGCAAGGTTATGAAGTTTATTATCAAGCCAGAGGCTCCAGTTCCTTATGATAAATCAAGTGTTCCACAAGGTCTAAAAACTTATGCTACCAGTTCAATCACTGAAGCAACAACTAAGAGGTACATAGTCATGTATGAGTACCAGAGCTCCACAGGGAACCCTACACACCTATTAATAAATGGCAAGAGATTAGTAGACCCTGCGACAGAAACACCAAAATCTGGAAGTACTGAGGTGTGGGAGGTGATAAACTTGACTGGGGATAATCATCCTCTGCATCTTCATTTGGCTGAGTTTCAAGCAATTAAAGTACAGCAATTGGTGGATTTGGCTGGATTTACAACATGCATGAAGGTGAAAAATGATGCTATTGCCTGCAATGTGACATCCCATGCCACAGGAAGTTTGCTGGATATTCCAGCGTATGAGAAAACATGGAAAAATGTGGTCAAGATTGAACCTGGCTACCAAACTACGGTGGTGGTTAAGTTTAATCTGGTGGAAAATGACGTACCTTATCCTTTTGATGCCACTGTAGAACCCAATTATCTGTACCATTGCCATGTAAGTCTGCGATCAACTTTGATCTACTAGCATGATTTAATCATTTGACCAGTAGCTTTTTCTATGGTCGTTTAATATAATTTCTTTCCCTGGGTCTTTCGTGATATTGGGTATTTGTTTTTGCAGATTCTTGATCATGAAGATAATGAGATGATTCGCCCACTGAAGCTAGTGAAATAAAAAGATCTTTCTGACAAATGATAGCTTGTGATGATTTGGATTGTAAAAGAACCGAGTTCTTAACGAACAGTTTGATCTCAAATCGTTAGGGACATGATTAGTTAAATAATAAATTTTTTTTTTGTTGAATATGTGATGTTATAATTGTGTCATAATTTTGTGCAATATGGAATATAAAGTAGGGTTGTAATTGAATCGAACTGCTCGTGAGCAGGGTCAAAAACTCGACTCGGACTCGAGTTAATCGAATTTGAGTCGAGTTCTAGTAACTCAATAAGTCTAGCAAGTCGAGTTCGAGTATCCAATAGTAAGGATTGAAAGTTCGTCGAGCCTTATTGAGTTTTTTAATTTTAATTCTTTAATATATTATTATTATTATGAAATTACCTTTGTGTCCAAAAGAGTGATTGAATTTACGAAATGTTTCAGATTATATGAAAATTTTCAAAGGCAACAATTTTTTTTTGCTAAAAAATTGTTAAGAAAAATGAAATTCGCAAATCTCTCTGACTCAAACTCGATAAAACTCATATTGACTCGAGTTTATGCAAGTTGAACTTGAGTTTTGTGAGCAATACATCGAGCTCGAATTCAAGTATCTTTCCTGCATGTCGAGTCAAACTCAAGTATCTTTCTGGACTTGCTGCCCATTACTCCCTCCCCCGCCCCACCTTGCTCCCTGCACCCCACTCCCCCCATCCCATCTCGCTTCCCCCATGAGGGCTAATAAAAGTAATGTATAAATGTATTAGTAAATTCAGTATAATTAATTAATAATTTCTATTAGTATGCATGTAGAATTATTAGTATAATTGATAATATTATATATACTAATATACATTATATAATACTTATAACTAATAATATCATTATTATAAGTTTATAATTAATTAAATTATATATACATACATACATACATATATATATATATATATATGATTTTTTTAATAGATGGCGGGGTGGGGGATGGGACGAGAGTATACTCTCTCACCTCTTGCCCTACCCTATCCCGTGCCCCAACAACTATTCCTACCTCTTAGCCATTGTGCTATGGATTCTCTCTTTAACAAAATTTTTAAATTTTTGACTAATAAAACATGTTTATTTCATGTATTTCCATTTTGTTATCATTCAAAAGTGGTATATTACTTTGATTAGCAATCTTCACGTAATTCAAGAACATAACTGTTCAGTAAAGAATTTCAATTAAGGATTTTTTTTTTAAAATGAAACGTACAAGGTAAATATAATTGGTATTCATATTATTGGTCATGCTACTTGTTATCTTCCTCGGGGATGCTTCAATAACTTCCTTTAGGGATTCTTCAATAATCTACTATAGTTTGTGATATAGTATATCCAAACAAATGATTTAGGATTAGTAGAAGTTTGGAAGTGGAATTTTGGACTTGTAGTGAAGTTTTGTAATGATAATATAATTAGTTGTGACAAGTCATGCTAAGAAGGAATAATTTTCGATTTAGGATTTATAGATTTTTGTTTCATGTGATTTCTCGTTAGTTGTTTAGTAATCTCCGAGATAAGAGACGAGTAGTGTTTTAGACTTTGGGTAGTTTAAGTGAGATCGTGAATTGTGACACATGTCATAATTTTGGGGTGAGGTTTAGTAAGGGGATTTCTTAAGGGAGCTGAAGATGGGAAGCGAAATGGCGCTTCCTTTAATAAATGTGAAAAAAAGTTAATCTTTTGTTTAATTTATGACATTGTCCTCTTGGATACCTTTTGCATGGTCAGATTGAAGCAAGTAGGGGTGCAAACGAGTGGAGTTTAATCGAGTAGCTCACAAGTTTGTTTGGTCAAAACTCGAGTTCAAACTCGCATTGATCAAGATCGTGTTGCTTGAGCTATTTGATGAGTCAAGCTCGAGATTAATATGTGAAGTTCGAAACCTTATCAAGTTTAATCGAACTTCACATATATATGTTTTTTTTTAATTTTTTAATATAAAATGTCTATTTTGTTCCTTGTTTAAAATTATATAAAATATAAGCTTATATTTCTTAAACTCGATTAGGCTCGATTATATTTGATTGGGCTTGATAAGCATGAGATCGAGTTCAAACTTGAGTAATGCAAAATAAAATCGAATTCGAACTCGAGTTTGACGAATTCGAGTCCAAGGTTTTTAACTCGAATCGAGCTCGAGTAGTGCACTATTCGAGTTCGATTCGACTCGATTACACCCATAATATAAAGGTTTCCTTATATTGTAATTGTAAATAGCATTCTAGTGGAACTTCTGATTTTTTTTCCCCCTTCAAAACAGTATATCCTGTGCTTTACTAGAGAGCCACGCAAGTTGAGCACCATTTCTGGTAGGAATGTTGCATAATCATAATCCATTCACGCCATCCATAATACTAGAGACATTCAATTGTACGTCCCTATCCTAAATGAGGACAATAAATTGTTCAAGTGCATATTTGACTTGCTCACCGTGGAGTGAGCATAGAAATTAATTATATACAAATAAACGTTGGCTTTCAGGATTAATTAGGACATGTTAAGCACACCATACTTTTCCTGTCTTTGTTTCCATTTAATAACTAATACGTGGAATTATAGCTTATTAGATCAAAACGAGGATTAATTTGGGTATGGATTATATTACTAGAATTGATGTCCATAATATATCGTGGTTCGGAAGTATGCTTCTAAGAAATCCGTAGAAACATGTATACAATTTTGAATTTTGGTTTAGGAATTAGCCCTTGACTGCGCAGAAGCCGTGAACTCTATGACAATTAGCAAATTCTTGCTAGTCCTTATTCCTTCACCTAAAGCTGTTTTTGCTTGCGCGAATGTTATTCGATCCTTTTCAATTTATCACCATTCCATCTTTGGCAAACGATTATAGACGAAAATCACGACTAGGACCCAAAATTCTCTCAAGTTAGTTCTTGCACTTTAAAGTGATGCACCTATCCAACTCATATAACCCGTTCAAAATATTAAGCATACTAATTAAATAGCCCTTAGTTGAATTTATCTACTCTGTCCATTGGTAGACAATGATTGTTTTTGTTTTTGTTTTTGTTTTTTGAACATGTATAATCTATAATATTGAATTTAATACCATTACTGTGTTTATTTAATCTCCATCGACAGTGGGAATTAATTATTTCTTACTATTACTACAGATCAACCTAGCTACTTGATTTTCGTTTCCTTCGAGCATTGTATGGATTGGATGTATCTTCTGAAAGTGGCAATTGGTGACATTCTTTTTTTTTTTTTTTGGTCATCAAAGCAAAGAGACATGCTCACTGATGGCACAAACATCTCAACCACATCACCAATGACTCGGCCAACGACCAGAGGATCAGAGTTGGCAGCCATCAAAGGGATGAGTAGCTAATAAAATCAGAGGAAAACGGCCAGAGAAAAACTCTAAGAGAAGCCAAGACTTTGAAGTGAGGAAGAAGTGAAGCACCGTAGCACAGTAATGAGGTATAAATGGGAAGAAAGGTTGCAAAATGCAAGAAGGGCTTAGCCAAGAAATGCAACCTAAACAACATGCAGGTTGCGATGGAAAAAGTTGAAGACCCCCTGCCTCTGAGGATTATCAACAAATGTTTTTGTGGTTTGATTTTCAAATTTATATGTATCTATATCATATTTGTATTTGATGTACTTTCTGCCATTAATGCCGATGTTGCGATGATATGATCATTTTTATCAATAAAAAATATGGACGCCATTGTCTAGCTTAAGGAAAGGTTTGACCAAGAAAAATTACTATACTAGTATGGAAGCATGTGCCTTGCACGTGCATTGTGTTTCTCGTTGTAATAATTTTTTTGTACAAAATTTTTTCTCGCAATTAATAAGAAAAGAGAGGAGATATTAACAATTTAATGTAATCTTAAGTAAAATAAACTGAAGTTAGTTAAATCAAAATGATAGCTTATCACGATTTCTTGTACATGAAAATGATTTTTTTTATTTTTTATTTTTGGGTTTGACCAAGAAAAATTGCTAGCTTTGTTGGGTTGTGAAATTGCCCACCTTGCTCCGAATGACTATTCCAACTTTGGGCTTACTCATCCACAAACAAATTGGCCTTGCGTTTACCATCATCATTTGCTTAATATGTGTAAAAATGTAAACTCAGGGCCCATGTACTTGTGGTAGCCTTTTTCTTTTTCTTCTTCGGGTGAAAAGGCTTCCAGGTTTTTTTTTTTTTTTTTTTTTTTCCAAATTGTACTATCTACTATGCGCTTAAGAAAGTGTTGTCCTTTTATTTCCAGCTGATTATGCATAAAAAGCTTTCCTTAAGCGGAAAAAAATTTGAGCCTAATTGTTCATAACGATGTACTTCAACAAGCATTATATCCATTTTTTTCACACACAACTAATATTTGAAATGCTCCGTCCGCGCCTCTAGTAGATCAAAGTTTTCTTTGTTTGGATTAACTGTTTTTTAAGATGTTTTTGAAATATTTTACTGTAACAGTCAGTGTATACGAAAAACTTTTACTAGGAATGTTTTAGAAATATTTGATATATTATATGAATATGATGTTTTTTTAGTTATTTTTGTTTGTGTATTATTATAACACTGTATTTGAAAAAATTATTTTTGAAAAATAAGCCAATCGAAACGGAAACATTTGTGTTTAGAAAACACATTCAACTACCTATTTTATTTCATAGATATGCTTATTTAAGTAGAGCATTGATGTCTTTCTTTTGCCCTCGAAAAATGGAGGTACGTGAATGATCATGAGGAGAATTTCCGTTTACCATGGATGAAAATCAGTCTACTGAAAATCTACCCTCAGATATCAAGATGTAGACATTGAAAACTTCATCCCATGGCTTGCAAAACAACGTGATCAAATAAATGAGATTTTGCTCCGGTTAACCAGAGTAGTACATCCATAGCAGGAACCCAGAGACGGTCAAAAGAGGATTAATTATCTCTTCAACTTTTAATTGCCTATTTACCATTTGCTAAACTGCCCGAGAACTACAATTTCACTAAACTACACTCATCCGTACAAAGAATTTGGCACATTTGGTACAGAAGATATACTCAACGAGGAGTACAATTTTAGGTACAGACAGCGACTGCAGACTAACTAATACTTTGTGATGAGACTCACATAACAACCATGATGGATAACAAAGAGAGCAGAAGGAAGTACAGGCACAAGGATTTATGCAGAAGTGTCGACGAAGATTGATCATTGATTTCCGAAGAATCGACAGCAAGAGGCATGCCATCGCTGTTGAGAGTGCAGGATTGTGGATAAGTCCCCTCGGTGCTCAACATGAGGGCTCTCAAAACAGCAGAAACTGTATGGAGGTAAGCAGCTCTGTTCTTGTGGAGAAGCCATGTGAGACCCATAAGCTCGCAATCCTTGTTGTGCATCTTGCTTGTCCTGTCTTCCAACGTGCTTGCGTTTCCGACTTTGTCTTCATTCAGCTGCACTTATTCAGACAGTATAATAGTTAATCAGGCACTTAATGATACTAATTAGTCGGTACAAAAACCAGCACGTAAACACTTGATAATAAAGAAATACAAGATACCCTTGATATGCTTCAATGCATTCAAGAAGCTGTATAAACATTCAAGCAGGAAGACTAGATTTTGTAATGCAACAACACTGCGAGTCAAGGACCAGCAAAACTTTGGCACATCACAAAGACAACCCAGAAGCAGATTCCACAGTGTACGCCGTTGACATTTATACTAGCACATGGTGCAATTTGCAATTGGTAAGCCATCAATAACCAAACACATTATTGACTTTGGAGAAATGATATTTTTGAATTTAATATTGCGTTGAGCAAATACAAGTTCATCAATCAGAATTTTGTGGGATCTATAGCTCCCAAGATCAGTTCATCAAACCGTGCGTGGCCCATGAATAAGATCTGCACTAATTTTTTCAAGAACTGAAACCATAGCCGCTCCTCAGAGGAGATTTCTCTCGTATCCATATAATAGTTCTGCCATCAGAGTCATTGATCACTTAGTTATTGGATCTTCATGCAAGTCAATACAAAATCATATGGCGCTACCAATGCAAGTCCCCAAAACTCACACATCAGAAAACAGTGAACTATTTTAGCATTACTCACTTCCCACTTGCCTTGGCACAAAAAAAAAAACAATTCTTCCTCTGTTCCAATCATGAATGACAAGATGCACATTTCTAGGTTTGGTTGGATGATTTGCTTCAAGTATGTCAACACCCTTCCATCTAAAAAACTTGGTAGACTACAGATGAATTACTTTATCGCGAGAATAGCTAGAGCAATAATTAACTAACATACAAATGGATATAATTACTACAGATGTAACAAGTTAGGAAATCTCAATAGATTGCTTACTATAATTAAGGATACAATGAGGGTTCGGGAAATATGTGGCTCTTAAAGAAGTGGGTAGGTGAGAAATTTGAAGTAGCAGTAGTATTATTTGTTAGCAAAGGGAACTTATTGGAGTAGGTATAGGCGGCTAGAGTGACATTAAAACCAAACCATCATAACAATTACTACTATTTTGACGCTATATAGTTCCATAATTAGAAAGAGGAAGAGAATTAAGGAAATTAGAATATCAGAAAAATAATTTTTGCTAAATAGTCCAGCATCCCATAGAAGGCACCCATTCTGAACATTGAACAACACAAATTTTGGACAAACGTTAAACTTTTTTGGCTTTTGGTCTTGATACCTCCATTGAGTTATAATAAACCTCTTTTGAAGTTTTGAGATATTCCAAAAGGCAATTTGCTCATATACCCAAGATCACAATAAAACTCCCATCTTTAGAAGGTAATCTGAAGTTAATAAAGAAATTGAGGGAAAATTAGTGTAGACTACTAAATCTAACGGATGAATGCAAATTTTACAAAATTCACGCCAAACAAGAATTCCGCTTCTATTGATAAAAAAAAAAAAAAAAACACCTTTGTAATCCGCTTTTGTCCACTTTACATCGGAGAAGACATCCTATGAGAATTACATTCTTGACGTTCATATACACATAGGTCGTGTACAACAATTAGTCAAACTGATCGTGTACTAAAATTGATAAGCGGCGGCTCCGGCCACCACAAGCGCGTGAAAACAAGCGCTTCTATGCATGCAATGCAACTAGATTCATGATTCAAATTCAACCACAGTCCTCGGGAAACGGCATGCGCAAGCAAAAGCAAATCCCCCCAAACAAACAAACAAACAAACTTTCCCAATTTCTCCGAAAACCCACAGTGCAATGAAAAAAAAAAGCAAAGCTAAAAAATCATCGTCCCTCAAAGAAACACACTGAAAAACACATACTAGGAGCAGAGTGGGAAATTAGACGGCGTACCAGATAAAGAGTGTTTAAGCACTTTGAGCAGCCAGCAATCCCAGCATAGCCGTTAAGACTGCTGCTGCTTGAACAATCTTCTTCCAGCTTCTTCACACTTTCACCACCAACTAGCTTCCCAAGCGAATTTACATAAAAAGCCTCGGGGCAGCTCAAGGGATGCAGCCTGATTCCACAATAACAGTAGACAAAATCGCAGGTCTCATTAGGCTTTGCCAAATTTACCCCTTTGTTCCCCAATGCCTTTTCAAGGCTGTCCACGCAGGTTTCTGAGTCGTCCGGGAGGAGTGGCATATCAACCTCACGGGCCGACGCCGTTTGAGGGGTGGTGGTCTTGTCAATGCCGGTGGCCCTCTGAAGTGCTGTTGCGGAGTAAGCTGCGTAGAGCCAGGCCGCAAGAACCGGGCAGCACCTCGTACGGTGGAGCTGACCCGAGTAGGAATTCGGGTCGGGCATGCCGTGGTGGTGGTTTGCCCCGGATCCGCATGCCGATTTTACCCCGGAGAAGAGGTCGTCTGGGAGGTCCAACGGGCACCCGTCGACGTTGGACTCTTCCGGGAAGGCGGGAATTGTGGCGGGAGGAGATGGGGTGGGGAGAGCCAAAGGTTGGGTTTCGACAGGAGCCGGGTCGGGGTTGGGTAATTGGGGCAGAGCGGGGAATTTGGGTGGGTAGATGGATAAGAAGAGGAATGTGAAGAGGAGGAGAAAGTAGCTTCGGAACATTGCTTTGAGAGCTGTAGTGGGCAAATGGGGCGTTGCTTTTCTTTGCTTCTTAAGTGAGGACTAAGGGGTGGGTGCCTTTAATTATGAGAAGAGAGAACTGTTGGCCTAAAAGAACCCACCACCCTGCCACCCCCCACCTTCAAGGTTTAGGACTCACAAACAATTTTTATTTTTATCTTAATAATAATCATATGATATCAGAATTTACTAGTACTGCAAATACACATCTTTGATTTGTTTTTCTATCATTAATTAGTCTTTTTCTTTATTTATTATTTAAAAAAAAGGCGGTATTGAGAATGTAGATGCAATTGAGCAAGGGGGGGCTGATTCTGAAGGACTATTATAAAGACAGAGGATAGCGTGGGGTAAAGAGTTTGATCATCGATGAAAGTTTTGTCTGCCCTTAGGTTGAGTGGCACTACTGACCAAACCTAATATCTGGGGGCCTAAAAATCTGAAACAGAATGGGGATTTTCATGTACTGGTATGATGAGCAAATCATGGTGCAGGGCTACTAGCATCTTGAGAAAATGGGGATTTAAGTTTCATGCTCAGAAAATGGAATGGGTTCAAGAAGAGTGCTTGTAGTACATGTTGCGATAGCCTTTTGGGTACGTAGCTGCTGAGTTACAGGTGTTCTTGACATAAATCTTGTGTGGCATTCCAATGATTTTTAAGTAAAGAATGTTAGAGAATTGGATTTTGCATTACATCATGTGCCCTTCTTGCATTCTGACAAAACACACTCTGCTATTCCTGCAGAATAATTTAGCTGCTGAAGTTGCATTCTCATGCATAATTTGGACATATATATATGTTGCCTGGGCCTGATTTTGCAGATAAAGGACGTGATGGGGACATATTCTATTGTTTCTTGGTGTTGCTTCACTTTATCTGTTCACTTTTATCGTAAATTTTTTGCTGTTACTTCCTTTCCTTGCATGACCTGTCTTTTACAGTAACATGTCTGCTTCACTTCATTTGATTTTCCTCAGCTCAACTCCCCATTGATATCTGCTGCGTCCTCTTCCATTTCTGACTCCCCATTGAATGAAGTCTAGAGGAAATGGAAGATACTACTATTTACATAACTTCTAGGTATGTAGATACTCCTCCTGGTGTCATTATTGTTAGTTTATACCTTACGGTAGTGGAGTCTAGTTCACATCTACAAAGGGAAAAAAAAAAAAAAAAATCATTACTTCCCGGAGAGAATTGGTGCTTCGAAAGGGACTTGAAACTAACACTTAGTTGGCTGGCTATATATTAATCATCATATTATGACTTTGTATGGATACTTTGTTTTGCAACCTTAAGGACGCCTAATCACTTTTTTGTTTTCATTATCATTACTATATATGTAACAAGTATGATGAGTTTTGACAATAGGAGTGTAACTGCATTTTGATTTTAGTTTTTATTATGTTTAAATTACCCTCATGCCTTTTAATTGGAGTTATTACATTTGAATCATGGCACAAATAAAAAAAAAATGAAAAGTTTTAACAAATTATATCTCAAAATTATTGGTAATTAAAATAAAAGACCGCCCGTTTACAACTATATTCACCAATCATTTCCCTCGTTTTCAATTATTGTATTTGTCAAAATTATCTCCAATTATTATATTGTTATGCAATGATAATTAAGGTTAACTATATTTTATATACACATTGGTTTAGATGAAAATCACGATTAACGAGAAGACAAATGGTTAAATTGATGATTAAATTCACCATATTATGTTATATTGATTAAATTCAATATATTCTTGGGGATGGGAAAGGTGTGGAGAGATGTGGGAGGGTAAATAAAAATTAAAAGATTAAGAAAACTCCAAAAAATTATTGATAATTATTAAAAAAAATACTAACAGACAAGGTATACAACTATTGGAATTAATAAAATTTTGTTATATCCGAATGAGAATGTTTTAGCATGTATTTTGCTCAGGTTTTATTATATGCACATTATAAAAAACTTTCTCTTCTTATTATCACAATCCAAGTAAAATATGCAACAACTTACTTTAGATGTGATAATTTTCTATTTTCATAGTTTTTGTAATCGTAGAATGCACAACAAACTTTTAGTTGTTTTGTATATAATAAACAATTTGTATAACTAGCAATTGCTTTATTTTGTTCATTATATAGTTTCTTATTCAATATTATGCCAACAACTTAGTTGAAATATGATAATTTTCCATCTTCAGAGTAAAATTGTAGAATGCACAATTCATTTTTTATTGCTTTGCATACAATAAATGTTTTGTACAATTAGTAATTGCTTAATTTTTTGTTTGGATTGTAAGTTATTTGAGATATTTTTACTGTAGCACTTTTTGTGATGTAATGTATATGAGATGAAAAGGTAATTGAGAAGGTAAAAAGGTGTATTGAAAATTGTAATGATGATGTAAGCAAATATATTTGAAAAAATAAAGGCCAATCCAAACAAACCCAATTTGTATAGTTTCTTAGTCAATATTATGCCAACAATCAAAGTTTTACATAGAAATTCAGTACATTAAAGGTTTTATATATATTTGGAGAAAGCACCTTCACGCGCAAAACAAGTGAATTATTATCCATTTCTTTAAGAGGATCAATAGTGATTTCCTACTTTTTCCTTTGTTAACTTGAACTCGGGACCTCTAGATTAATAACTTGTTTGCCTGATGATAAAAGAATTTTAGTTGAAAATTACTCATAACTTGCCTTTTAAAAAAAAAAATTTACTCATAACTTTAAATCTAATCTGTTATATCAGAAATTTAAGGTTAGATTTCAAGAACTCGCTCCATTAGCATTTTTTTTGTTGTTGGAGGAAAGTCATTCTTCATCTGCATGTATTTATATATTGATTGTTTGCAATTAGTTTCATCGCTATGGCACTCGGGATTCGCTGAGAAAATATTCGCATGAAATCAAGATGAGAAAATTCTATTGTCATCTAGTTAGCACGTGACATGGGAATAATCAAAAGTTAAACAAAATAAAATGTTGTTTATGATCCATGAAATATTGGAGAGACTGAAGTGTCCAATGTCCCATATAGTCTCTTAATTAGTTAAAGATTTCTTATTATCGATGTCATAACTTCGTACAGCCGTAAATTCCTTCGCGCATCGTCCACTCTTTTTGGTTTTTTAAGGAAGATAACGATAAGTTATGCTGTTGGGAATCGAGAATCTCTTCTACCACACCAAGAATTTTCCTTTAAGCTGCTGGAAGTTTAGGGATTCCAAAGAATGTTGATTTAATTAATACTGTCAACAAAATAAACAACAAACCATTGGGCAATGGCTCAGTGGCCACCAGGGAGGGACTTAAGTCCCTTCTTGGGCTGTAGGTGAGGGTCCGAACCTCACCTGTAGCGAAAAAAATCTAAAGGTTGTGTCATAACACTCCCTTGGTCTAGTTGGGTTTGTATACCCACTAGCCCCTACAACAGCCTCCTTAGCCTTCTCCTCCCCCTAGATTAGGATAGTATAGGTTATACAAATGTATCGTTGCTGAAAAAAAAAACAAAATAAACAACAAAGTAAACCAGAATTTGACCCTTTTCAAGCGGTGAATGTTTCTTCACTAATGTTAAATATTCATTTGCCGACCAAAAAGAACAGAAGAAATTTACTATCCACCTGCAAATTCATCTAAACATAGATAGGAACATTTTTCACTACTCAGCTAGATAAAATATTTGGTTGGAAGCTTGGATTAAAAAACAAAAAAAATTCTGTTACAATTTTTTAAGGCAACTAATGAAATTTCATCATAATTGATTGATCAAAAATACGTTCACACACTGGTCAGAATGTTCTATAACTGATTTTTTTTTTTTTTAGGACAACGTTTTTTTATTTTTTGTTTAATAAGCCGTTAATCATATCTAGTTAGGCCAATGTTCAGTCTAACAGGCAGTATAAACTATAAAGATGGAACATGAAGAATAGATTGATTAAGGCTTTTCGACAAATTGAAGCAGCAAATGCACAAGAGGCAATCTGTTATGTCACTGAATATTATAAGACACGGCATGTGCAAACCTAATCACACTAGAGAACGTGACAAGAACAGGAGGAACACAAAACTAGGCTCTTTCAAACAGCTTGCTCATGGGACAGCCACTTGAGTCTCAATGCTTCCAAAAATTGGATAACATCAAATATCAACCACATGCATATTCAATTCAAATCCTCCATCATATAATTCATCTATATATATCCAACAGCAATATTTTCTTATCATAATCCGTTTGAATTAGCTGTTTTTGAATGTATTTTTTGAAAAATTTTACTGTATCAGCAGCGTATATGAAAAACTTTTGTATGAGATTTTTTTTAGTTGTTTTTGTTTGTATATCAATATAACATTGTATTTGAAAAACTTATTTTTGAAAAATAGAGAAATCCAAACTGTCATTATAAGATAATGGAACCATGCATCCTTATTATTAAGCAGCAGTGCTAACAATTTACAAGCTATAAGTATGTGACAAAACACAAATGATCTGTTAAAAAAGGGTACACAGAATGATAGTACTATATGCTTAGGAAGTCGAGCCTAGGGTTCGCACGCTTTCTTTGTTTAAAGCTGCGAGCAAATGAAAAGCCAAAAGCCCTTTAATCATGTAGACGGTTGACCCTCTTTCTTTCTTTTCTTGCTATGTAATACTAGTACATGGCCGTGAATGAATTTCATGACAGAACATTAGTAGTTGCAGTTAATGTGAAGTTGTTGCAGCCATAAATTGCTTCCCATCTTTGATCTTTCTCAGGCAGTAGATTGTTGTGTGCAGAGCTGGCTAGTGTTTTCTTTGATGGGGATGCAGCAGGATAGTGAAAGTCATGCATCCAACGAAGTTGTCATCAATGAAGAACCCTCTGATTTTTCAACGCAGATGATGATTTTATCGGCAAATGTAGAAAGTGATAGTCCAAAAATATTGGTCCAATATATAGTCCAAAATAATTGGTCCACAATTTTTATCGGATCTTGCAGAAATTCAGGTCGCATGCTCCCGCTGGTAAGACCTGTTTACATCATGTGGAGGGTCAGCTGAGTGTAAAGGACTTGCTCAAAAAATGAAAAACTTGACTAATGGACTTAACTATTTTCTTACTTCCCTATTTTCTTGTTCTTTAGTTTTTACTTAGGCTTTAGCAATTATCATGGTAATAAATCGAGGTTTTTATTTTGAGAAGAAAAAATGACCAGATTAAAAGCATGTATAAATTTGCATCCTCCAAGAGTGATATCGTACCGGAGTTGCAAATAAAAGTATATTTTTTACATTGAAAAAAATTAAGAATTAATTTTATATACATTGTCAGTGTATACACTATCATCATTAGATATATGATGCATGAACAAATTTTAAAAATTAAATTTTACTCATACGTCATTCATCCAACCATAATAATATATACATTGACAATGCATATAAACTTTACTCAAAAATTAATACGCAGACTACAATAATTTCCATGGCGGGGGGAAGAAATATGCAATCCTTCTTTGTCACTTCTATCTTGGGTCAAATTGCAAGATCCAATATTTGGGCTAGTTATTCCATTATCAGTTGCATTTACAATGGCCCAATATATTTCAGCTTAGTTCGCTGTTCTCAAAGGAATTGTTGGCCCAAAAATTCAACAAAATTCAAAATGACCTTCATTCTTCCACTCTAGGCCAGATAGTCTCCCTATTATTATAAGACAACTTTATTTTGCTTCCAACCATTTTAATCTTTTTTTTTCTTTTTGTAATTTTAACTTTGTTTCAGTTCCTTTAAATTTGTAAATAGCATCAAATTCCACCTTTCTGTTGAATTCTTTTATTTTGCATGCTAGTCTCATTGAATATTTCATTCTTTGGACACCTTCATGGTATGTTGGTCTATTAACTCCGAAACATCACCTTGGAAGACCATGATGAATTTGTGATAGCTTAGGCTAACAAATAATTGCTACAAAAACCCCCATGTTTCTATAAATTGCATACATTAGATTGACAAGCTTGAACTCCTTTGATCCATTACTCTATACACTAGGACAAGACCTCTTGTATAATCACTTATAGGACATAGACAGCCCAATTAAGCTCAAACTCCCTACCCAACCCAACCCAAACTCTAAATTTATTTAAACACACACACAGACTGAGATGAGTTGCAATGCTACATCTTTTACAAACTCTGGAAGGTGGTCAAGGCTAGAGCAAACTGCAAAATCTTCCATAAAGCCGGGAAAAAACTCAGCAGGGAGGAAGGTCATCAGGTGGAGGAATCAAACATTGTGAAGGGTTTTTACCCTCCTGTACAACAAGACCCATGGCTAGACCCCATGTCGTATGTTCCTCGAGATGGCAATGTATGAACCATACCCCTGGATTATCTGCATGGATTCTGATTGCTGCCCATCCTCCTATTGGAACCGCCACCGTATTCCTCTCCGGAGGATCCACAAGATTGTAATGCAATGGATCTTTTTCAGCATCGAAATTTCCAAATCCGCATCCCACGATGAAAAAGTTGTGCCCATGAACATGGATTGGATGGTTCTCCGGGTTCAAGAAATTGGTATCTTGCAGCACAATTTCTAGCCTCGTGCCATATGGTACCACCACCAGCTTACTGCCAAATTCAGCATTCATGTTTTCAGTTAAAGAGTTAACTCCTGTGTAGTTAAAAGGAACGGGTGGCTTTTCGGGGAAATTGGAGAACAGGTTAGCCATACTGAGGTTCTTGTAATGGCATTCCAGGATGGATATGGGAGGGCGAATGAATGATTGGTTGTTCATCGATGCTAAGAACCTCTGGTTTCTAAATCCTTTGCAAGTTTTATTAGGAGGGCAGTCTTGAAGATTGAGACCTATGGTTGTGATCACTTGCTTATGGACTTTCTTGGGCACTTTACAAGGGTACTGAGGAGATCCGAGGCTTCGAAGCTTGTTGGCGAATTCCGTTGCAAATTCAGTATCTTGCAATGCAGGGAGGTTGCTTGGTAAAGTGTAAGGTGGCAATGGGAGCTCAACTGTTTCTTTTGACTTTGTGGTTTTGTACTTCAGGAAACCAATTGTGGTGGAATTGTCGAAGGGGAAAATTGAAGTTAGATAAGGTCTTGCTGCCAAGACAAACATGCCGGTGGAATCTGGCTTTTGATTCGCAGTGAGCAGCACATTGGTGGTCTGTCCGGGGGCGATCATGATAGCTTTTGTTGTAAAGGGTTTTGTGTAAACTGCATCGATTTCTACGACTGTTAAAGTATGGTCAGCCACAGCAAAGAAGAGCTCATCATTGAGGGCGGCATTGATGATCCTTAGCAAGTATGTTTTGCCATGTTCGACTGTCTTGATGAAAGTATCTGTAAATTATTAATGTAACAAAAATCAATTCCAAATCCCTCTTGGCAAAAGTTCAGAAAAAATAACATGATCAATTAGGAGGTGTCAACTAACAAGCATCTCAGACCTTGAAAGGGGACAAAATGAAGGGTTCAATTCTTGGTTGTCAGCGAAAGGAAACAATAACTTGAATTCAGAATTTCCTTTTAGTCAAATCCCTCTCGGGTATTACTGGAATGATCGAATGGGACATTTTTAGTGACAAAAAATTGGATTAAAAAAATCTCAACACTGGTAATTTCATTTTTTTTTCTTTTACCAAAATGTGTGTTTTAATCTGCCGATGAAATAGATTATATTTCAGCATCTTCAATAAGTGAGTTCCTATCGATCTTGTAAAAGGAATTCAACAAAAATCCAAGATTAAATACAACAAAAAGAACAAAGGAAGGGTCAAATTGGATTTTGTGTACAAAAGCACATTTTAGCAAAACCAATATTCTTTTCAAGTTTACCTTTAAGAGAGCAATTATACAAGGGCCCTGGCAAGCCATTGATCGTGTAAGCATCTGAAGCATTAGGTCCAACCCCGGTTAGCATCATATCCTTTTCTATTGCCATCACATCTGAATTGAACCACTCACCTGTAATAAAAAATTTCAAGGATTCAATTTAGAAATGTAAGTTCTTCAACGATACCGAAACCCTCTTGTATATATACTATTGTAAATAAATTACGTGCAAGAAGGATGAATTTTATAAATGTTTTGAAGAAAATTACCAAACGTTATGGGAATCTCCTCTTGAATTGGAACTGAGAAAGGATAAGGCATGCGAGGGTAGATGATAAAAGCTCCATTAACAGTGGAACGTTGCCATGAGAGATGGGCATGCCACCAAAGAGTTCCCCTCTGATTGACTACGGTGAACCTGTAAGTGTAAGATTTTCCAGTTCCAATTGGGCATTGTGTAACATAGGCTGGACCATCTGCCCATCCTGTCCTTAATTGCCTTATTCCATGCCTACAATAGTGAATTCAGCAAGAAATTTTTTAGTAGTTAAATTTATCTCCTGCAAATAAGCTTCTTGACAACAGCATTTACAAAAAGATTAGGATGATCCGGTCAAGATTTGTCAAAGCCTGACACAATTATGATTAAATTAGTGCATGGATAAACACAGATTATCAAGTGTCATCACAACATATTATGTGTAATAGAATAATCTTCTGATAAATAATGTATGGATTAATATTTCCTACACTGACAGTGTATACACTGTCAACGTTAGATGAATGATAACTCTGTAAAATTTGAATTTAAAATTCAAATTTTGCGCATATATCATGAATCAAACGGTGATAGTGTATGCACTGCAGTTTATTATGTCCGATAATATGATGGAAGGGAATATACGATTATAGAACCTGCAGTTTGGGTTATTTTTGGCTCGCTTAGATGTGGAACGTTATTGTTTGAGATGCCTGAGTATTTTTCTTGTCTAGGGTAATCACTATACATCAATTGCTGATTAAAGTCGGCCTGATGTGTAAATAAGTTTAATTGGTTTTAATCTGAAGGGAGCTAATTAGAAAGAAATTTTAACAGACTAAGCGGGACGTAGAAAAACCCAAAAACAAAAACTGTCTAACTCTTTTCCTGCACAATTACAAGTTGAAGTTCACTCCGCAGTTTTCTTTTTACTAGTTTGGCATCAAGCACTTCTATTGTGATTTCTGAAAATCTGTTTTCCAATTGCAATAGGGATAAATTAACTTCTTACTAATTCATAATATTAAATGGTTTTCGATTGATTACTTAACTAATTATAAATTCAAACTTTAGATAATCAATTTTTGTGATGTTCGAGATTGCTTTTATATTCTGACTATAGATTTTTTTAATGATTAAAAAAAATTAAAATCTATGATCATCCAAAAAGCAGTCAATTTTATAATCAAAATTTTTAAAATTTAAAACGAGAACAAGCCTATGTTTGTCTGCGTAAATACATGGATAAAAATTAGATTTTGCATTCCAAAGCCCAAAAAATTCATAGAATCAATCATTGTCAAAATCACTCTACCACGATTGAGTACGAAGTAAACAATATTTAATCAAAATATCACCTTGTTTGATAATCTAATTTAACACTTAAATTTAATGAAATCAGATCTTAATATGTTCACAATATACTTGATAACAAAAAATAGAACATTTTAATTAACTAAGTGGGTCTAAATTGTGCACGCAAAATTCACTCCAAAAAAAAATTATTCACTTATCACTTAATACAAAATGCACTCAAAAGTTAAGATTTCGATATTTACAATTTAACAAATCAACCAATTCAAATTTCAATTTTATCAAGTGCACCCTGTATGCACGACAGACCAAATGCATTAATAAACGAAGTACTACAATATACTTACCAATGGAGAGTGGTGTTCATATCAACTCGATTAGTAACCTTTACTTCAACATTATCGCCTTCATGAACACTAATGGTTGGTCCTGGATATTCCCCGTTAACAGTAAGTACTGGCCTTGTGTTGCACAGACGCTTTACATTCTTCCACTTGACCTGAAATAAAACCAAATCAACAAATAAACACCTTGAATTGTTTTCATGTTTTGTACCTGTGTTTTGTGAAGTAAAAGAGAGTTTAAGACACCTACATTAAATTCAAAACGCCTGGTGGTTGATGACAATGAACATGGTAGAAATATGCTTAGAAGAAGAACAAGTGTAACAAAAATTTGATGATAAAAACTCCCCATTAATATGTAGATTCCTTCACAACTCACAAGTGATCACAGGCACCTTAAGGTGGAATTCTTTGCTCAACTAATTGGACTCACGAGCAAAAGAAATACTAGTACACCTATTTATAGTGTGAATTCTTTCGTACTAAATAGTTGTTGCTACATGAAATTTGTCATTTCTTTTTTTCTTTAGTGATGACGACAGTCATCAATTTGTCCTAGGCATATATGAGATATTGGAAATTAGATTCCTACATTTTCTGGAATTTTGTCTTGAAGGGGCGAATTACGAGGGTCATGAACCATAGACAGGTAGGTAAGGATTTGCAGAAAGTAAAAGAATGTCAAATTATGTTATCCTGCTTCATTGAAATTTGTCTCAAAGCTTGGCTGCTACAGTATACACATCTTTTATACCGCCAAATAAACGAGACTTGGGGGAGAACGTTATGGGATCAAGCATGTTCAATCCAGCAATGAAAAACTGAAAAGTCACAAATTTGTAATAATATAAACTTTTAACTTTGTCAGCTTCAATTGACTCTTTTGTCAGCTGATGCACCAGTGGACTTCTTGTAGGTCCTGTGGCATCTTTTTTTTTTTTTTTTTTTGATGTGGGGGAGGGGGTGGTGGTTGGTGTAGGAATAAAACCAGGACAAATTTTTTTTATAGAAAATGTTATTTATGCTTCTTCTTCTTTTTTTTTTCCGCTCCCACAATTTGTTTTATCATATATGTCCAATAAATAAAAACTATATGATTAAAATGCTAATGAGTGTGATAAAAAAAAAAGAGTGCAAGTAACATTTCCCAATTTCTATTCATCAATATCGATTTCTTGCCTCAAACTATGCAGTAGGCTACTTTTATCTGATTCGTGGAGTGGATAGAGATAACATGGTTTATGGCAGCTTGAATTTTAAATTTTAGAGATTTATTTTTTTTTAGATTTTTGTGGAGCAAGATTTTTTAGAAATTTTATAAATGTTCTACAACTTGCACGATTCACCAACCAAAAAAGTTGGCATTATTTGACAAGTACAGGTTTTCTTAATTTATCCAATATAGAATCATTACATGTGTCTAGAGATTCCATTTGCTTCCTCAACATGGGAGTTGGGGAAATGAATGAACCCTTCCCTATACTTTTTTTTTTTTTTTTTCCTTTTTCTTTCCCTATAGTGCACGGAGAGACCTGAAGTAAAGAAGGCATATAATGTTGAAGTGGTGACTCTTGAACAATCCTGCATAACAAGATCTCTAACTTGGAGCTGCTGCCATTATTGACGTACGTCTCCTAAAATAAGTCTTGCCCCATGTTTTCTCCAATTTATTTGGAACTGGGATACCAGATTTTGGTCTGATCTATGACAAATGTGAAATATATGTTCATGTTGATCATTGTTTCCAAGTTGAATTAAACAAGTTTTTGTCTAATCATGTTTGGACACTAATTATCAATTCAATTGCACCTCGTAATTCAATAATGTAACTTATTAACATAACAAAGCTTTACAAGAAGTTAAAGATCTGTTGATTGCTTTTAGAATCTTTTGGATTAGCTTGTACTCTTATTTTTCGGGTTTCACTTGTGCCATTTGATGGCTAATTAAGTTCGTAATCAGCAAAAGGGGGAAAAAGGGGTTTCAAACCTTTTGCCCCGAACATTTTCCTATCCAGATTCCACAATGATAATTTAATCAGCCGACTAGCACGGGATAGAACAACAAACAAAATGTGTCATCACATCAAGCTCTTGCCACTTAAATTGTGTGTCTTTGACCATACTTTAAGAGTAATTTTTGTTGGGGATCGACATGATTGGAACTGTAGAGGACAAGGTCAAACTGGGTTTGGTCGTTCGTGACTCCATCCTTTTAATGAGTTGAAATTCTCTTAGGTCTCTTCTCACCTCTCAACTGGATCGTGCCATTGATATTCTCTTCTTGCTTGTGACCTCGTCTTTGCTAAGAAAATTCAGGACTCAAACCGTCCAATCGGCTAGAAAATGTTTAGAGCATCTCTCATTCACCGGCTACAAAGAGTTAAATTTTCACGAGGAAGTTTTCTAACAATTAGGATAACTTAGCAAACTGAATTGCAGATTTTCACTTATATAAAAGTACGGTTGGTATAGGCTGTTCTTCTTTCTTTTTTTTTTCCTTTTAAATTAAGCTAAGGTCAAGAGAGAAGTTCTGGCAACAACTTATTCCATATATTTTTGGATTATTGTAACAACTAGTTATGGGTTTGCACGTGACTATAGCATCATGATATATGATATTTCTTATACACTAATTTTTTGGTAAAATTCTATTGTTAACATTGTAATTTAATATTTGCGTATTTTTTATTTAAATTAATTGGTGGTATCTCTCATGATTTGTCATGTTTTCTCTGGGGTATTTCTTTGAATTTATTGTGAACTTTTTTTAACTTGCTAATCAAAAGATAATTGTTTGCATAAATATTAATGTTTGCATACTCTAACATTATTATTTTTTATTATTCCTGAGTTAAATTTGTTACTCTTTGCATTCCTTTATGTGTTATTTTTGTTACTAATGGAGTGTAAATGATCAACCAGATATAAAGGTTTTATGTTGACTATTCATTTTTGATAATTGAAATTTCATTTATCCAGATAATTGAGATTTTTCTTTTCTTTTCTTTTTCATGGAATGCAAAGAGACAGATTAGATTGGGGTGTTTTGCTTTGTTTATTGTCTTCATATATAGTTCAAATTTAATTAAGTTTTTAGTATTTTGCCTTCATAAGTGGTATAATTATTGACTATTATTAGTACACAATAAATCCAATTATTAGGGAGAAGGGAGTTCTTGGCATAATGTAAAACCAAGACATATCCTGCTTCCACACTATTCTTTCTAGATCTACCATACTTTTATAAGGAATTTAGATATAGATAGATAGATGATTATTAGTTGGTATTGTCCATATATTTTCGTATTGCTCTGATCGTTGTATTGTGTTTGTTCTTTAATATTCTTATACTACTGTCAGTGCCACAGCTCAGATTTTATTTCTATATCAATATTTGCACAAGATGCCAAGTTTGTCCTCCTCAAGTCCAATGCAATTTGGACTTATAACGGTAATTTGTCACTTTAACAAAAGCTATTGTAAAAAATAAAATGTGGCCTATGACAATAATGCCATATTATTCTTAACACCAAAAAAAAGTATAATGACAGAACGTATAGTAAAATAATGTAACATATCTCTGCTTATGCAAGTGGTTAAACTTTTACTTTAAAAAAAAAATAAAATTACACCAACCATATAGGGTGGGCATGGTTAAACTTTTTCTTCACAAGGTAAAAGCTCAAAATTTCAAACATTGAGAATTCCTCCATCCCTGAAGGAGAAATAATAATATTCGTTGCACATATCATGATCTGGTGTATATAATCAACTTTCATCTTGCCTTGCAATTGGAATTTTTACATGGCTGGTGAGATCAAGAAAAGGGCAACTAACCCTCCAATTGTTCATCTACAGATTGATTCATGTTAACCCAAAATTGCAAGATGGCTGGACAAGCAAAGTTTAGATGGTAAATGGCAGTTTCCACCATTGCACTTGAATTAATTATGTGTTTTACTAAACACATTCCAAAACTAAAACCAAATGATAAATTGCTGTGCCGCCAAGTGAGAGTTGATGATGAGTGGGGAGAGACCTCCAAAATTTTACTTTAGTGGGCAGAATACTGCATAAAAACTTAAGTGGTGTTTTTATGATCCCAATATCCTCTCATTTGTCTTAAGTTGTTGTTACTAGCTAGTTAAGAGTGTCAAATTAGGAATCTGGTTTTGTCAACTTCATTCATGCACAATGAAAAAAGACATAATATTAGAAGATGCCATCAACTAAGCATATGTCACATCAATCAATAGTCATTTAGGCTTCAAGACGTACGGGTGCTTGTTTTACTACTTACTAATCAGATTATTCTATGATCCCAGCAATCTTCTTAGCAAAAAACCACATCTAAGTAGATTTTATAGCTTGCTTTTCCACCCACCATGAATGGTAATCAAGTCATTATCGAAGACGAGATGGAGACAAAAGTTTAACTACATTTTTACTTTAAGCTACCTAAATATCTGACCACGGAGTCCCTTGTGAATAAAAGATTCTAACTTTGAGTTATTCGATTCACACGAATGAAGGTATTTCACCAAGAAAGAATAGAAACATTTTTCCCCATATAGATTATAGACAGGGGACAGTGGGTAGCTGAGAGCCTTTCTTGTCCCATGGTCAATGATCATGAATTTAGTTGGCTTAATTCTCCACAATCCATAGACGGATAGAACATTAATTGCCGACCAGAATTACACCTTATGTATAGTTGATTGGGTAATAAAAAAACCAGTTCAGTAGTTTGTGGCCATAATTATTATGTGTTTCGGTCTAAAAAAGAAGGAGGCGCTCTTTAATGCTACTAGTAATAGTACATTTTTTTTGCACGTAATTATATTAATTCAAATATAGCATATATTTCTTAGATATAAATTTTTTTTTGGTGAAATTTGATTGTTTACCTGATAATAGAATATTTTATATTTCCAATTTTTTTAACCAATTATTGTTACAAAGACTATTTGAATACGAACTCTTTGATTTAGTGATTTTTAAATTTATTTTGGAGCTTTCTCTTTTTTAATTTATTTTGAACTTTTTGTTAAATTATGGATTCAATTTTGATAAAAAATTCTTAATGCGGTTATGTTTCACTAAAGTTCAATTCAAATTCACAAAAAAAAAAAAAAATTGAAAAAAAGTGCTTACAACTTCGTATACTAAAATACTCTAATTGAAGGTAATATGATCATAACAAAAGCTAAAATTAAAAAGTGCTTACAACTTATAATGTCAACACTCATCATACTTTCAATATAGTAATAGATATCAATGTCAACCTTTATATCAATCCGGTTATCATTTCTCAAAACAAAAATCTGAAGAAATAGATAGCAAAATAATGTAACAGTAGGACCGGGTTTATTTATTTATATTCAATTACCTATTGAGAGTAACT